TGAAATAGTCCCTCCTTTGGGATTTTATACTTAAATTATGTATTTAAATTTTAGTGAAAGAGCTCATTGATGCAAATCGCCAACAACCAGTTTTCCGACTGTTTTCAACCAAATAAATTCGCTCCGACTGATTTGTGATTTCTTTGAGAACATTCCTCGAGTCTTATCTTAGGTCTGTTCCAATCCGCCACAAAACGGTTCCAAGAACGGGTTCGAAAACACTCTGTATACGATTTGCGCAGACTCCTGACGGTGAAATGTACGGTTGGAACAAAGCTTTCTTTTTAAATGTATGATTAATTTTTTTTGTTCTTTGGTCAAATTAAAACAGAAAAAAAAACGGTTCTAGTTTTAGTTATGTATTTATTGAAATGTCAAAAATCGCAACAAAATATAAGTCTTCCATTACACAACCAAGTAGCTTCTACAATAAAGTGAATAATGCAAATAAATGAACATTTCCGGAAAATTTAAATTTCGAAATCTGATTATCAAAGTTTTTGGTTGGCTCTTTTTTCTCAGGCTCGCAATAATACAATTTTAAAATTCATTAACGGCGCTTTGCGTTTTTTCGGACTTATGTAAAATGCTGATTGTCGAATGCGCATGTCTGGTGATTTTCAACACACTTCTGTGTGGTGATTTTAGAACGCAGAAGATGATCGCCGAATGAATTTATGAACGTTCTAAGTTTTTGAAAGCGTTTGGGTTACTCCGGGGTACAGTGACTCTATAACCACAGTGGCTACAATTGCTGTCTCATTTTTGATTGGTTCTTTAAAATCCTATATATGTATTCATATGGAAAACGCCGCCATTTTTCCCCAACCTCTTGCTAATTTTAAATATGAATTTATAGGATTTAGGTCAACATCTATCGTAAAAAATTAAAAACAACGTATTTGATGTACCTAATTATAGTAATTGAATACGTTGTTTCCATTTTTTTATGATGGATGTTCATTTAAATCCTATATATTTATATTTAAAAGTAACAAGAGGTTGGGCACAAAATGGCGGCGGGACCTTATTGTCGCCACTGCATGTGGAAAGTAAAAGTTTATTTAGCCACTGTACTCCGGGGTATATTAGGACTTGTAAATATGAACGCGCTCCTGTTGTATTTCACTCGTGAAATCTCATTCTCATTCTCAATGACTTCAGATAGATGGAAGGATGTCCTAGTTTCATTTCAGCAGAAAACCGTACAATGAACAGTCACGATTCTGCGCAAAACCTAAAATTTGTCCGTAGAATCCGAAATTCGTTGCTGTAGGTACGTAAAAATCAAGGATAATACACACTACTACTAGCGGATACCCTGATGAGGCGCGTGTAGAATAAATCTGAAGCCTCCCATCAGGCTAAATCACCAGTTGTGACGTAGCCAGCATGTCGTTTCTCGCTTTGAAGTAGGCTGTTTGCACCACAGATTATGATTCCGCGGGCTTTTGCTTTATGTATACTTGGTTTTGCTACATTTATTAACATTCTAAAACAACTATTTTTCATTTCTTGTTTCAATCTTCCTATTTGCCTATTATGTTAATCAAAATTAAATAATATTTTTCATCATAAATTTAAATTCTAAATTACGACCGCTGGCGCAAACAGCTGACGACTTAGTTAATGACATCGGCAATGGTGATACACCAATATGGCGGAGATTACCAAATACGAGGCCGATAAGCAATTCTTAGAAGTGTGTATTATCCTTGCGAAAAAATAGCAGACTGTTTCTTTGGTTGCCTACTTTTTGAAAAAGTCTTGCTATGGAATATTTCCCAAAAAAAAAAAAGTAACCACGCTAAAAATTTGAAAAATAACTGACATAAGGGTGAGTTCCGTTGTCTAACCTGGTTAACTGGTCGGTACAATGTCGGTTGACAGCGGTTGACAACGATTGACAAGCGGTTGCTGAAAATTTCGGTTTAATACGGAACGCTTTTCCAATCACAGAATCGCCGCCGGTTGCCTTGGTGACATGTTTGACATAACCAGGAACCAAAGGAACCAGAGACATTACGGAACGTGTAACCGTAACCAAGGTTGACAACGGAACCCACCCTTAATCTTTAGACAATCGATCAAAGAATGTTCATGCCAAATTTGAGCCAATTCTGAGCCGTTTTTTTTTTGCACCTTCAAACCCATTTTGGAAGAGTTTTACGCGGGAGAACAACGACCGCCATGGCGCCATAGGGTCTGCCGGTGTCGAGCACGTGTCGAGCTTCTCGTCTTTAGAGGAGGGTTTATCGATAATAATTTTTATCGATACAATATTCTTTCAAAACCCTTCCATTTACATAGGGCGTATGTATCGGTGGATATATCGATACATCGTATCGATTAGCCCTTCTCTTATTGAAGGTGTATTGGTATTGGTGTATTGCAAAGTTACCGTTACAAACTTTGCCCTTACCATATAGGTTATATAATTACGTAGGCGTGTTAATTTCAATTACAACAGAACAGGTAAATATAAAGCGTATATTTTGTTCTCTAAATTCTAAAAAAGTCGTAACCTTTTAGAGGCCGATTTCTCAATAGCCTCCGGGTTGGTTTTGACTCCAGGTTAAACGTGTCCAGTTGCAATGTTACCCTGTAGTTATTCTTAAGCCAGGGATGACTTGATATTGAGAAAAGCTGGATTTATAGTGTCAGTATCAGTAACAGTAACAGTAACAGTAAAACTTAAAACTTAAGAACAGATATGAAAATAACCATTTCTTAAGTTTTACTGTTAAGTTTGTTAAGTGAATTATAAATGGCTTTACGGCAGGCCGTGTTTTAATATATTACTGTTACTGATACTGACACTATAAATCCAGCTAAACCGTCCAAAGGCCGGTTTCTCCATAGCAAGCCAGCCCCGGGTTAAGCATAACTCTAGGGTGAACATTGCAACTGGAGGCCGGTTTCTCAATAGCAAGTCACTCCCCGGTTAAGCATAACTTGAGGGAACACATTGCAACTGGACACGTTTAACCTGAAGTTAAAACCAACCCAGAGATGGCTCGCTATTGAGAAACTGACCCTTTCTCACTCACCGGTTTCTCAGTAGCGAGTCATCTCCGGGTTGGTTTTAACTTGAGGGTAAACGTGTCCAGTTGCAACGTGTACCGGGGGTCAAGCATAACTTTAGGATAAACATTGCAACTAAGAGGCTGGTTTCCCAATAGCAAGTCACGCCCAGGTTAAGCATAACTCCAGGGTGAACGTGGCAACTGGACATGTTTACCTTGGAGTTAAAACTAACCTGGAGGTGACTCACTATTGAGATACTGACCCTTAGAAATTGAAAGGGCTGGTTTCTCAATAGTGTGTCACCTCCGGGTTGGTTTTAACTCCAGGATAAGCGTGTCCTGTTGCTATGTTTATCCTGGAGTTACGCTTAACTCTGGGGTGACTTGCTATTGAGAAACCGGCTCAAAGAAACACAACCAAAGCCCATATTCATATGCTCAAGGCCGGTTTCTCAATAGCAAGTTATCCCTGGGTCAAGCATAACTCTAGGGTAAACATTGCAACTGTATTCCTTTCAAGAGTTTAGAACACTAGAGCTACTCGCTCCAGTGTTACCCGAACCCGATTTGAAAGGAACAGATGCGCTGGCTTTCGTGCGCGGCGAGCTCGGGCTTGAGCACTTCAGGTGCAAGAAATACTTTTCTAAAGGAATGAGCGCGTAACGCCTTGTAGCTGTTCCGGAGCTCCTCATAGGTGTGAAAGGAATACAAGTAATAGCAAGTCACTGCCGGGTTAAGCATAACTCCAGGGTAAACATTGCAATTGGACATGTTTACCCTGGAGTGAAAACCATCCCGAAGGTGACTTGCTATTGAGAAATCGACCCTAAATTTACCAATTCTATCAATAATTTACTTCTGAGAAAAACTATGTCCATATCAAACTACAAATATTTTTTCCACAGAAAATTTTCTGCCACATATTATTAGAAACATTATAAAAGCTCATCTTCTCCCCATAATAGGATTTTCATGATCTGGAACTACATATGTGTACTTAGTAAGTTACCCAGAAAAATATATTTCTTTCTAGCATGGTGTTTAGTGCTTTCATCAGCTAAAAGTCCTGAATATGTCTTGTTTCTGTTTTGTTATAAATAAAATATCAATCAATCAATCAAAATATACTTTATTGTCGGAAAATAAATTTCATTGACAAAGCATGATCTTAAATAATGTGCAAGTAATTAAAAATTATCAGGTTATAAAAAAAAAGAGGTACAATCAATAAAATAAAAAATAAACATAAACATAAATGTCAAAGCATAATCCTAAGCAACACATGTACAATTTTTACCACATCAAACTATAGAGTCATATAGAAGGTACAGCCAATACAGAAAAAACATAAAGGTTGCGGTCAGAACAAAACAAAACAATGAAACAAACGATGATATGATAGTAGGCTTTTCCATGTAAAAATGTTTTGAGCTCTAGTCTAAACTTTTTAGAACCACCTATCTGCCTCAAGTTAACAGGCAGATGATTAAAAATTTGCCTACTTTTATAAATTAGTGAATTTTGCGTCAATGCAGTCTTGGGTATAGGAAGCTGAATTTTAAGAAGTTGCCTAGTTGGATAAGTTCTTGGATATTCTAACTCATCATAATGTTTTTTGTGCATAAGGCAAGCAGTTTCCATGATAAATATACAGCATACTGTAAGTATTTTATGTTTTAAAAAATAAATCTGGGACAACAAAATTTTCGTGTAAACTAGGTCCTAGACTATACTTCATTATTATACCCAATAATAATAAAGAATTAAACTGATAAATTCAAAACAAGCTAATAGTCAGATGATCAAACTACATTTCACTGTCTCAGATAAGATCACCTGGCAAGAAAACAAACAAAATTATAATGCGAACTAATTTATTTCAAATATTTTATGAACAGCAAAATATATAGAAACAGTATTCTTTTGCCAGGCTAATTTTGTCTGACCAAAACTTAAAAAATATTTTGTTTATAGTACAGCCCAAGTTGTATCTCCATTTGACGACAAAGTTATGGGAAACCCAATTGGATGGCTCCAGGAAATGTGCATGTCCCGCCGCTGGCCACCACCACTTTACGAAATGGAACATGAGGAAGGACTTCCTCATGAGCGACAATTCACTATTGCGTGCCAGGTATGTAGTTTTTATTTAATTTTTTGCACTAGGCTAATCTGGCTTTGGGCCATTTAAAATCATCGTACGATTAGATGATTCCTTTAAAGTTTTGCTCAAAAATTAGTTGAAGACTTCAGAAATTGACAGCAACTGATGATGAACCATGGACTAGGATGCTTATTCTCGAAACCAAGGAATGGCGTTCTCATTGAAACAATTACTCTGTCTTTATCAGTGTTATGGAAATATGAGTATGGGCCACGAAGATAGAACCTTCCTGTTTCTGTCCTGTTTCAAGAATAATAACCCAGGATAAAATAGGTATCCTCAAGCTCAGCTGACAGACAATGTCAATCAGACAGACATGTTGAATCAGGCATATTTTGTGTCAAAATTTCGATAGGAACTAGGTGCCTACCTTTAACTACTTATTCTCCCAACATGAAAATATGGTCCAAAAAAAGTACCAATAAACTTCTTGTACTTGATAAGTGCTGTGCAGTCTTCTGCGCGGGCGTCTCCTATTTACTGGAGCGACTGGCAAATCATTGACGGACGTTGTCAGTCTTTGCTACTTGCTTTTTCCGCTTGGAACATATCATTCTCCATAAGCAATTTAACCAAGCTAGGAAATTTTTCTTTGCTCGGATAGCTCTTAAACTTCTAGTTCAACCATGCAAAGTAGACCCTAATTTCCTATATGACCAACCCACGAAATCTTGAACATTCGCTCTTCTTCAATTTTATTATAGAAGAATCAACCAGACGTATTTGATTATTCGGTCTCTAAGCTTGAAGTTAAGATTTTGGATGGGGGTCGGGACTTTTTTGAGCTTTACAAAGATGGTTATAGCTTACTCTATGCTACTAATATATTATTAAATAAAATCCCCTATATATCAGAAACTATTATCATAATTCATTATCTAACATTCAAGTAAGTTTTTCATATCATATCAAACAATATATCTTATGTTAAGACATAATATTTGACATGATATGGACGTCTTCGCTCGAGAAAATGCAGTGCCAGTGTTTGATGCATCTCCGATTTCCCTACTCAGCAGTCCCGTTTTATTTATGAGCTTCTGGTGTTACTTCACATTTTAAAATCCCATTTTTTCTTTGCAGGTCATGAAGATCAGAGAAATCGGCACAGGAAAGTCCAAGAAGTTGGCAAAACGCGTTGCGGCTCACAAGATGTGGCAGGCTGTTCAAGATCTGCCTTTAGAGGGCGCCAATGCGATGGGATTTGATAGTGATGAGGAGGTAAGTAATTTCAATTTTTAGATGAATGGATTTTGGTCAATATGTTACATTTATGGTGCTTAAAATTCAGATAGCTTTAAATCATTCCAGTATTGTATTGAATTGAGTATTGAATCAAACAATAATAAATGTGGAAGATTTTATTAATTATGATTCTTTGAAATGGGTCTCCATATTCTTGGAATTTTAGTTAATGGGTTACTGAATACGTTTTTGTGTTTGAACTAGTGTTGTTCGTTATATAATATGACTTTTGCGCGAGTCCCTTGGATGTTGCCTCTTCCATACTTGTTGAATTTGGTTATTTCTTATTTCGGTTGATGAAGACTGTGTTCTCAACACAGTATCAACAAACAACAAAAAAATCATTTAAAAAAAAAAAAATGATTTTTTTGAATTATCCCAATTGACTAAATTCATTCTTTTTTAATTTTATTTATCGTTGTTTTGTAGTAGTAGTAGTTTAGTTTGATTTATCTGTTATTACGTAATAACTTATGTGCTAGGGTATTGCTGCTGTCTTTCATTAAAACATTGCAAAATTGAAATGATCACTTGCAATAATTTGTGACTGGTTAATAGAAACTTAACTATGTATTATCTAGCAAAAATATAAATTTTTATACCAATCACATTTGAAAGAATGAAGAATGGCAGAAAGTACCTTGGCACATAAATTCATTTCAATTTTGTGTAATGTTTTAGCCGGGTGTCAAGCTCAATGATCCGTCGCCACGTTACTCTGGTTTGAAAGACAGCAAAATATCCAAACTAAGCACCCAGCAGTCGCACAAGGTTTCCCAATTCCATAAAGCTCTCAAGCAGTCCGCGGGCAAGAAACTGAACGATTTGCAGGTAGATAATTTACCAGATTATTATTTTTTAATATCCAAAATCATTCTACACAAAGTTTATTTCAAACCTGATTTACTTAGGGCTCGTTTATTCACCTTCTGATAAACTGTCAGGTATGCAATCTGAGGGATAAAAGCAAAATCTGTAATCCAATTGGTCGGCCAGATATCCGCCGACCAATAAAATTATAGAATGGTAAATTTATCTTGCAGATAGTTACCAGCAAGTTTATCTGAAGATGAATAAACCGGGCCTTAATACGTTAGTTTGACTTCTAAAAATGATATAATCAATAAGTGCTCCTAAATACAAGAGGGCGAGTTTTTGAGAACCGATCAAAAATGCACCTTTTTTTAGTTTTTTCGAAATAACTGGAAAATAAAGCAAAATTTGAGCAGAATAGTTCCAATGTTTATAATGTTTCAGTAAATAGGTACCTATTTAGAATAGCAGAATAGCAGAGATACAGAACTGCGAATTTCTGTCGCCTAAACTCCTTAGGTCGGTCGTCCATCTACAAGACATTTGTTTGCGCTCTGACATGTTGTCGACGTTTCCTTTTTATATAAAACGCTCACTTTTAAATGAATCCTCATCCATTAATCGGACACGCAAACAAGTCAAAGCATGTCTACGACAATTTTCATACGACACTGCTTGCTTTATTTTCGGGCAACATTCGTCGTTTGCTTTCCAGACCGAGCGAGAGCTTCTGTAGGAAAAACGATCCAGGTTTTGATTTGAATTTGCGCAGTTCATTGAAAAATACATAGTTTTATAATATGATCACACTCTAAACCAATATTCAAATTGACAAATTCAGGAGAAAATGTGGAATGAAGTTGGAAGATAATTCAATGAAATTGTGTTTCTAATAGGAAAGTTGTGGTGTAGCTTTGATTTATCTTATTCTATATTATCTATACATTAGTATATATGCTCGTCGACAACACAATGCTTAGAAGTGACCGAACTCGAGAATTTTTTTACGGCATTTGTCTTCTGACGTTCAAATGTCGGCGACATTTTGCGTCAATGGACGACCGGCCTTACTATGGTGGCGTCAATCTAATGAATAATGAATGATTTATAAAAGTATGAATAACTTGCTTATTTCAAATGGAATGACTAAGTTATCTATCTCTTATCGTTGCGGAATAAGAAGCATTAGTAGATTGCATTTCAGAGTGGAGAACTTTAATGGGTTTGCCTCTTTTTGCACCAGTCAATTTAAGAGTTTATATGGATAATACAGGTTTCTCCAATTCGACGAAGTTTTTTTCCTTTGGCTTATCGTCGCTACTACTTGATTTCTTTCTATCCCGGATCAATTTTGAGAACTTTTTTGTGCTGACTCCCTCTTCAGCTTCTTCCCTGATAACAATCAATTAAAAAATGCTTTATTAAGGTATAAATTTACAATACAAATAAATAAATAAATAAATAAATAAATGTTTATTGACGGACTTGCCATTTTCAAATGAGTACATAGTTCAAATTGATAAAAATAAAATTCTTAAGATTAAGACAAAATATAAATTGATAAAACACAATCACAGTGTTGACAGTAAAATTTAAAAGAAAACACAGAAATAAAAAACATCACTTTCATTATGGTAGCATACATAAAAAAACACATCAATCAACAATGAGAAAAAATGAAATATACTACTTATTATATTATCTAAATTGTAAATGGTTTTATGTATAACAGCACCTAGATGCAGAGCATCTGTATGTGCTTCTAACTTCATATATATATGTTATTTCCAAAGGAATACAAATTTGTTCGAATGCTGAGAATTTGAATATGCACGTTATTGTCATCAAATCAGAGCAGTTTTTTAAACAAAATCCGATTTGTCCAAACGAATGCCTTCGATCTTTTTGAAAACAGTTTTGGTTTTACAACATTTTTCACCTCAGTGGGCAATAGGTTGTAAACCTTTGGACCTATGAAACAAATTGAGTGTCCATAAAATTCGCTTTCACATTCCGGAATCCTCAAAAGCTGATTTATGCGAACGCGGGTGTTTTGATTATGTAACACAGTAGGCTGCGTCTTGCGGTGTTTATGAATGTAACAACTAACTGAGTGGAAGAATAGAGTTCTCAAATTTACTATTTCCTCAGTATATAGCATATTGATGATTCCAATTTCTTCAGGAGCCTCACTGGCTACTGCACCTATCGCAGGAACAATTGCAGTTATGCTGGAAGGTGAACGTTCCAGTAGCAGCAATCAGTTTCGAGCTAATTCCTTTGAGAGCCTTGCCACTTCTGAAACAATCTTTACACTAGTGAATTCAACTAAGCTCAAAATTGAAATGAATCGTATGAATATCTTGATAATTTTTTTATAACAAGAAGTTTACATGCCCACCTAAATATCATAATAGGTACACCAAGGATATTATTCTAAACAATCTTAACGCACAGGTTTTATGGAAACTAACTGAAGTTGCTTGTCAAAACTCAATTATTCAATTAAAAGCTTTGTTCCAATACAGCAGGAAACCATACCATGTACCGTCACGATTCTGCGTCAAGCCTAAAACTTATACGAGTGGTCTCCAAACTGTTCATGGGACGGTTTTTGACGTGCTGGAACAGACCTGTAATAAAACTTATGACTATGACATAATTAGATTTACATATTATATTATTCATTAATATCATTTTAAAGTAGCATGTAAGCTGATTAGAATTTCGAAAAAAAAAGTATTTGTCGCATGCAAATTGCGAGCGTTAAAAGTAACTACAACAGGTGTCTGGTTATAATTTGTGTCCAATCAATATGTGCATGCAAACGTTTTTTTTTCTATACCGAACCTAGATATTCTTTAAAAATTGAATGATTATTTTTTTCTTCTTAGACTGTGGTCATGACTGCAAAGGAATTCAACTACGTCCAGTTCCTTCAAGAAATTGCCATCGAACAAAATTTCGAAGTGACTTATGTGGACATAGAAGAAAAATCCTTGACTGGTCGTTGCCAGTGCTTGGTGCAACTGTCAACCTTGCCGGTGGCAGTTTGCTTTGGTACCGGAAAAACTCCGAAGGAAGCCCAAGGGCTTGCCGCTCATAATGCATTGGAATATTTGAAGATTATGACCAAAAAATGAGTTTAACGCTTCAAACCAGCCTAAATTTCAATATTCATTAAAAGCATTTTAAAATACCTATTTGAAGGTGTAAACTGAGGATTCTATCCTCGTTCAGCTTTCTTCTCTAAGGTTTGTTTGATGTCTACGCCTCTGCAAATTTTGTTTTTTCGTTAGGCAGACGTCACATTCTTTTTTGTAAATGGTCACAGGGCTGGCCTTTGGTAATTTAAGTTTATATTTGGCTGATTTTCTTGTTCAACAATTTGAATGAATTCACATTAGGTATAGCATTTAAAGAAATTGAAATAATTATTATTAATGAAGAATAAATAATATTTTGCAATAAAAGCTTAAATTACGAAAGGCCAAACGTTTATGTAAAGAGAAGGATAGCGTGTTTTTTACAAGCTATACTTTGCATAGAATTAGTGGTTTTTTTCGAGAAAAGTTTTTACGTTTAAATTTTAATAATAATATTGCCTATTCTTCGATAATATGCACTATATAAATATTTCATTAAGGCATAAATTATGTGTTTAAAAAAAAAGTTTTTCGTGATTTATGCCAATTAATTGATAGTAATATTTAAAAGGTGTTTATTATGAGTAAAATATAATAGCTTTAGCCTAATCACTATAATGTAGGCACTAGTGCGTAAAAATACTTATGATTATTAAACGCATATTAAATATATAACGGACCAGAGTATAGTGCCCCAGAATATGATATGCAGTCGCGTATACTGTGTAAAGGGAGCATTTATTTGATGCAAAGTATAGAGGTTGTACCCAAAATAATATTATATGATATAAAAAAAATTATAAAAACAACAAAAAAAATATGTATTCGTAATTAACATATATGTCAATAGGCAAAATAATGTTCATTAATGTAGGATCAGCTCAATTGGCGTACACCTACTTTGATTACTCGAAAACGAGGGCAATTTTTCTATTATTATGTCTCCTTAATTAGTATTTTTTTTCTAGTAGGTATTGTTAGTTATATTGATGTGTATGATAATTAAATCAATTGAACACTTAACAGGTTTTTATTTATCAAATCGAATTTTAACCAAAGCAAACAAAAGATTATAGCAAGGATAAGAAGGTATGGCAATAATAAACTTGGAAGGAGCCTTGTGCAAACATGAATAATAGTATATTATATACCTAGGTAGAAAAGTTGGTTATTATGTACCTAGCGCTTCTATAATCCGAGGCGTTCGGAAGGTATATATTGAGAAGTTCTCTACCGAGGAATATACACTGGGGGCCAAATTGATTTGGAACCCAATTTGACTCTGAATATATTTTTTTTAATTCGGCGGATTTATTTGTGAAATTTTGTGTGAATATTAGGGAGGCCTTTCCTTAATTGTAGAAAAAATATCTAATCAAAATGTACAGGGGGAGCCAAGTAAGAAGCAGTATTTTTAATCATAGCCTTTGAGACCATTGCAAAATTAAATGTTTCACTCTAAAACTGCCTAAATTATTTGAAAATATTAAAAAAATATCGGAGGGAAGGCTATGAAAAAATTTTTTGAAAAACTTCAGGTTTTATGTTAAAAACTTCTTTTTTTTGAAAACTTTGTTGAATAATATTACCATACATCATTAGTATAATAAGTGTTAGACATTACGACAAGACGAAGACATTCATGCCTCGCGACAAGGAGACCAGTGTCATTCAGTGGAAAATCACACAAATGTAGTTCTGTTGTGTTGAAGTTAATGTCTTTTGACAACTGCAGATCTACAGTGAACATTCTTAGAAAACTCTTAAAGCTTGAGAGAATCTCACCACTTAGTCCAATATCATCCTCATGTAACTGAACTAACAATGTATTTATGGAATAAGTTTTTCGCTTTTTTAAGCTTGGGCTCACACAAAAACGTTTCCGTTTAATTTGTTCAACATTGGATGAAGATGCGAGAAAGATATAACAGCTGGCGGCCAGCAATAAATCTTCATTTTTTGAATTTTCTTTCTGGAAACGCCACATGGTTAAGCAACTAATTCGCATAAATTTCATTGCACATTTTTGTCTTTCTGGCGTGGACACAGTTTGTCTTATCTCAATACCCAATTTTTGTCGCAGTTTTGTCGTGTTTTTGTCTCAAAATCGTGTTTACTTTTTGTCTGCTTGGTCTGGACCCGGCATACTATTCACACAAAAATCCGCCAAATTCAAAAAAAATTATTCAGAGCCAATTTGGGTTCTAAATAAATTTGGCCCACAGTATAGATAATTTTTTTATTACTACTAGTAGAAAATAAAAAAAATTGATTTGTTGAAATATATTTGAAATCATTCTGTTCGAATGTCTTGTCTAAAGTGCAGCCCTCTATCAACAGCTTATGGTAATTTCCTATGTACAGGGTGTCCTAATTTCGACACCTAATAGGAGACCTTCATAACTTTTTTGTTTATGGAAATAATTGAAATAAGCAGAAGCAGAGCTTTCCAATGAGCTATCAATATATTGGTTGTCCCATTGAAAAAAATCGGATTTTAGTCAATATTTCGAAATCGGGGCCAAATAGAAAAAAAATGAGAATGTCACTGAATTCAGCTTGAAAAAATGCTTCTACAAAGTATTTAGGAAAATCAATTATTCTCATAAACAAGAAAGTTATGAAGGTTTCACAGTATTGTTCAAAATCGAGAATCGCCCTCTAGAGGCTAAATTGTTAAGTTTTTTTGTATCGCGCTCAGAAATTGACGTTTCTTATTAAAAGTTTCCAAATTGGGACACCCTGTACATACAGAAGCCTGTTTCTAATTGACAGGTCGAAATTGAAATTAAACCAATAGAAACCTGGTACGTGACGTCATTTTCATTAATGACCTAGGTTTTTTTTTCATTATTTTCATTATTAACCTAGGGACAGAAATTCAAATTTTCCGTAGAAAAATAGATTGAATAATTACTATTTCTTAGCAGTTTGGACGCATTATGCTTTTTACAGTGGTGTCTTTAATTGCTGTCTGGTAATAATTTACTCAATCACACACATTTTAGTTGTATTCCTTTCACACCTAGGAGGAGCTCCGGAACAGCTCCGGGGCGTTACGCGCTTATTCCTTTCGAAAAGTGTTTTGTTGCACCCAATGAACTATAGCTAAAAACTGGAATGCGCACACATTGCCATATCTGCCAAAAAAATGAAGCCATGAAAGACAGATGCCACAAGGGGGAATGTTGTTTTTTTCTGTTGCTCGCTGACATATGACGTTTTCGAAAGTTTTGTCATATTTCCCTTCACAGGTTTCATCAATTGGAATACGTGTTGGAAGCAATTTTCGCCATTTAACATAATGAGTGCGACAAAAACAGGTATCCCCTCCGCAGCAGCCGCACTAGGCTTCAAGTTCGTCCTTATGTGTTAGCATTCCAGTTTTTGGTTATAGTTCATTGGTTGCACCTGAGTGCTGAAGCCCGACTCAAACCATTTAAATGCATGAAAGCCAGCGCATCTGTTCCTTTAAAATCGGGGTCGACTAACACCGGAGCGAGTAGCTCTAGTGTTTCAAGCTCTTGAAAGGAATACAACTATTGTTGCTCTTGGAATGTTTTAAAGGGGGGTGACCCAAAAAAAACGACTTAATAAGCTTCTTTAATCAAGAACTCTCGTGAAAGCCGCAATCCTACATTCAAAATAGTTTCCGAGAAAATTCCTTATGAAGATAAATTATGCAGGAACTGGTGACGTCACACCGGCTAACCGCCAAAGTCGCAGCCTTCTGTTCTTTCATTCGTCGTTAGTGAACCGTGCGCTAAACTTTGAGTGATTGCAATTCGCTCCAGTACTCTAGTGAGATAATTGACTTTCGTTTCACACGTGGTAATACTGTGGCTCCAAAACCGGTGTGTCGTCACAGCGTAGGCGTTCGTAATTTTAAACCGCCCTAACTCGAAAACGGTTCATCGTAGCAAGCGAATTTTTCATTTTTTGGTCAAACCTCTTTCAAGATAGGATGGTCAGACAGAATGATGCGATTCCAAACTGTAAATTTAGCCATAACGTTTGTTACTGTATTTTCTATACAGGTTTGGCAAGTCAACATCTTATAAGGCCAGTTTACACTTTGATTAGTAGCAAGTGCGGGTGTGTAGTGCTAGTGTCTTGTTGTCAAATTGTAAACGGATCTGTTAAGTAATAGTGCAAGCTACAAGTGCAAGGAAATCAAATCGTGTTCTATTTTTCTGTTTAGTAACATTCAACATGTCAAATTAAGATTTGACAAATTTGACACTAAGGGCGGGTATTATAAAACTACTTTGAGAGTTAACTTAAAGTTAACTTCTGAAAATACATGTAATTCAAAAAGTTAACTTCAAATTAACTGTCAAAGCAGTTTTATAATACCCGCCCTAAATACTTACAGTTAAGGCCGGTTTACATTTGGTTAACTGCAAGTGTTCAGTGTTAAATGCTAATTTGACATGTTGAGGTGTTACTGAACAGAAAAATAGAACACGATTTGATCTACTTACTCTTGTAGCTTGCACTTATCACTCAGCACTAATCACTTGACAGATCTGTTTACAATTCGACAACTAAACGCTATACACATTTGCGCTTGCTACTAATTAAAGTGTAAACCGGCCTTTGACAACATGTAAACCGGTCTTTACGGGTCAATTTTAATGCAATAGAATGAAATGTCTAGAAAAAGTCTGAGGTTATACAGAGTGAGTTTCAAGTATCTCGGAAACGGCTTGCACGATTTTCATGAATTTTGGTTTAGAAGAGTCCTATTAGGTCTGTTTCTGCAGAAATCACAAACCAGTCAGAGTGAATTTCATTGGTTGAAACTACTTTTTTGACTGTTTCTGACTGTTTTCGACCAATGAAATTCGCTCCGACTGGTTTGTGATTTCTGCAGAAACAGACCTATTGTAATATGACCGATAATATGGTAGTATTTACATGGTTGTCAGATCTTTCGTTTTCCGGGAAATATCAGAAACTTTGTTTTTTTCAAATTAATCATCCTGTATATTATGACATTTATGGATTCTGCGGAAAATTCTAGACACATTTCATGTACAATCTCATATACCTATCTCCGACTGTTTCGGAAATATTGACAGTTGAAAATTGACTTTTTTGCAACTTTGATAGGCTGTGAAACCTAAACGGCTGATTTTACAGCGAAACCGATTTTGCATTCATTCTCATCTGTAGCTTTTCCTAAGCTATCATTTGACACCAACTATGAATTTAACCGGAGAATAAATTTAACCGCACTTTTTAATCATGGATTAAATTCAAAGTAGATGCCAAAAAGATATCTTATGAAAAGCTACAGACGAGAATGTAAATTCGGTTTTGCTGTAAAATTAACCGTTTAGAGGCGATTTTCAGCCTGGAATGATTATTATTTGGTTATAACCAATGCATTTCCGCCGTCGCGGTTTTAACCAAAGTAGGGGAAGATTGTGATGTCACATATCAGCTTATTTGCTTTTGGTATTTACCACTTATAACCGATTATAACCCAGCTTTGGACTTGGGTTAATCTTTTGGTTACAGCTTTTTGATGTTATTGTTATTATTTTGGGAATTGGTATTGGTGTTTTGTGATTTTGCAGTTGTGTTGTGGCTTGGCACAATGGAAGAAGTATACGCTCACTCACTCACTGCAATTCACCATGTTTAGATCGAGGTTTAGATCATCCCCAAAGAAAATCTGTTCGATAAACGAAACTAACGAGAGATTCCGCTCCATTTTTTGTACCTAAACAACAAACCATTGTTGAAACGAAAAAACAAATAGGAATAATAAACACAATCCTACACTGCTATAACCAAATCATTTCAGCGATCAGTTCCTTGGGTTATGATTCTTGAGTGGTGGGGGGCTGTGACGTCACACTTGGCTGTCAAAGTTGTCAACAAAAAGAATAACCACGGTATTTACCGATAAATAATCATTCCAGGCTGAAAATCGCCTTAGGTTTTACAGTCTGTCAAAGATGAAAAAAAATCAATTTTTAACTGTCAATATTTCCGAAACAGTTGAAGATAGG